AGTACTTCCCATCCCTTGATTTTGACCATGGAATCTTAACAAGCTTGACATATTTAGTAGGTTAGATATTGTCTTCCCTTCTCTCAAAGATGCCTACCTTCTAATCTCAGAAACGTGAATATGTTACCTTACAGATTAAAAGGGATTTTGCAGCTGTGATTAAATTAAGGCCTGGAAATGGGATAATTCTGGTGAGCCCAGTGTAATCACAAAAATAATTCCCTAAAACTTCTGGAAAGGGCACTGTGCTGCCCACACCTTGATCTTGTCCCAGCAAAACCCATTTTGGACTTCTGATCTCCAGAAATGTTGGATAAATTTATTTTTTAACTGCCGAATCTGTGGTAATTTGTTAATAGCTACAGGAAACAACATAACTAAAGGCTGAAGAAGCACAAATGAGCTTGGTCTTTTGCATCTCTGCCATTGCCATGAGAATAATTGTCACGCAATGACACTATGAAGGTGACTATGACCGTTGGCACTTTGTAAGAGGATCAGTTACTTGACCGACTTTACTGTTGGTTTCTGTGGTGGTCAGAATAATAGTCCTCCAAAGATGGCCACATCTTAATTCTTGGAACCTGTAAATATGCTATTTTATATAGCAAGGGGGAATTAAGGTTGCAAATGAAATTAAATTTGCTAATCAGTTTACCATAAAAAAAGGAAGATTATCTTGGATTATCTGGGTGAGCCCCATATATTCACAAGGGTCCTTAAAAGATGGGAAAAGAAGACAAAAGTTAGAATCAGTGATGTGATATGGAAAACTCTTTTACTGTCCAGTGCTTGCTTTGATGATGGAGAAAGGGGCCTCAAGCCAAGGAAAGTGGACAGCCTCTAGAAATGATAAAGGCAAGAAAACGAATTCTAGAGCCTCCATAAAGGAATGCATCTCTGCTGACACCGTGAGATCTAGTGAGTCCCATTTTTAGACTTTTGACCTCCAGAACGAGATAGTTTGTGTTGTTTTAAGCTAGTAACCATGTGGTAATGTATATTCAGCAGCAAGAGAAAACTAAAACAGCTTGATCAAGTGATTTTTTTTCATTGAGTTCCTTAGCTTCACTGTGTAAAATATGAACCCTAACAGTAGGTTGAGAACATGGTTCAGATATTTAGCAAGGTGGGGTAGGGGAAATAGCTGAGGCTCTGGCCCTCACTGAGACAATTTTTTCTAATGGTTACAAATAAAGCTTCCATTCCCAAAGCCAAATACAAATTTTGTCAGTCTATGATGTGCTGGATAACATACACTCATGCCCAGAATAAAACAGGACTTGAAGTTAACTATATTTGGTGGAAACTCGGGCCACCCCTGCCTTTCCTACTATGGGGCCCACAAAACGCATAGTCTGGGGATGGAGGATGTCCAGTCTTTATACAGGGGGTTCAGGTCCAGCTCCCAGTATCACATGGATCCAAGATCCCATCTCATGACATTATGCGTGTGATGAAACTCGAGTCTCTAGCAGCTGGTTACTGTCAGTCTCTATCCAATAACTACCTCCAGGACAAGGGAGCCATCAGGCCACCCACTCCTCGCTGTTTCCTTCTCTGTTTCTAACTCCTTCTGACTTCTTCTTGCAAGTTCAATTAATTTTCTTCCTTCTTGGCTTGTTTACTTGTTTCTTTTATTGTAATATTTTATCCAGGATTTTCAGGTGTTTGTGCTAGAAAGGGCTCCCTATTAGCAAAGCCTGCCATGTTGCTGGACCCAGAAGTGTTTATGCACTTACATGAAGGGCATATCCTGATGATTTTCTTAGAATATGTGATTTAAAATCTGTAGGAACAGAAAGGTGTGGGCTGCTTACAAACAACACTTCTCAGTGCTTCTATTCATCACTTCAAAGATGTTGGGGTCTTGAGTAAGGGCATAAGTTGGAGGGGACACTGGGGACACTGGGGGCTGTGACTTGAGAAAAGGATTGGATGTGTTCACCTCCTCCGGAGGGCACAGTGGACCAGCAGAGCTAACTCTGGCTGTATAAGAGGCAGAACCTTTCCCAAATCTCATCGGCCTGGGAGGGATCTCCATCCCTGAAGGTGTCCAAGCAAGCCAGCCCACCAACATGCTGTTAATGAGCGGAAAAATAGTGTCTCAGCAACTCAAATCTGTGGCGTTCATTCCTGGGTCCCCCAGCTCAGATTCTACTTGTCTGGCTTAATCACTGTCTCAAAGAAGATGCATGCTATTGAGAAGCCATATGTTTGCATAGTTTCACCACTCTATTTAACTCTTCTGAATACCTAAAATAAACCCTTTGGAATCCAGAACAAGCACAATCTGGGTAGAGATGAGAGAAAAATGAGCTGATGGTTGTGTGCGTGTTGGTGTGTATAAAGAAACTTCTATTGTTATGGCAACCAGCATCCTCAACTGATGCAATTCTGTTCCCAATAATACAAGATGTGATTAAAAATTGACATTGCAGCTAGAAAGAACGCACGCAACACATTGGCGTGGCAACCAGAATAAAGTCTGCGTAAATTTAAACCTGATTACGGCAATTTGGGGATTTTACCTACAATTAGGAATCTTTTTCTCATCAGGACTTGAAGTCAGGAGTCTTTAGGTCTGACCTGTGGTCACAGCCTTAGGCCAAATTGACCTCAATGTCCTTTTCTGTAAAATAAGGAATTCGATTAAATCATTGGTGTGGGAGAGGGGGCTAGGGCTCTGGAATGTACCAAGAGTTACTATCTTTTCATCTGTATGCAGTACATCATTTAGTCAACAAATATTTATTGAGTACCCACTCAGCATCCACCTCTGTGCTGGGCGCTAGGGATACAAAACTGTTTCCTTCCTTCCTTGGAGTTTGCAGTTTCTTACATCTTGAATTACACAAATCTTGTGAAGTTAGAGCTGTGATATGTGTAAGAAATGTACTTTGTGCTACCGAAACCAGTAAAGGGAGATTGACTAGTTAGATCTTGTGCAGACAGGGAGATCAGCTGAGGAAACAAGCCCTGAAGAGCAGTGACTTGCTCAAGGCAACACCACAACAGGAGCCATTACGGAAAACCACACACCATGAAGTGAGTGACAGTCTACAAATGGAGAAATGGAGGACAGGAAGGATACAGTGATGTGCTCCAGGTCACACTATCAGCCAGTGGTAGTTGGGTCATCCAAACACAGTCACAGCTAATGCCACCTTTAACTCAGGCAGAGCCGGGGCAGAATCCACGCTGCTCGGGGCCTCCTTTCCCCTGGTCCTACAGCCCTTCACCCTTCCTGAGGCCGTTTCGGGTGCTCCTCAGCTTGCCTTCTGCAGGTGGGGGGCAGGCGCGATGAGAAGGCGTTGGACAGCGCAGCGACCCGTCTGGGGTGCATACTGGAGTACAGAAGCCTCGTTTTCGGTCACTGACTGTTCAGCCTGGGGGCCCACCAGGCTCCCTCTTCCGGCTTGGTGGTCCCCGTAACCCCCTGCGTGCTGCTGCTGTGATGCAGGGGGGCGGGGGACAGAAAAAAATCTCGACCCTTCTCGCCCACGCAGCAGTCCGGCACAAGCTGGAGAAGACATTAGGCCCACGCGGCTAGACCTCGCAGGAAGGCAAAAGGGCGCGGGCGCCGCGGAACCCTCGGGCGCCGCGGAACCCACGTCCCCCAAACCTGTGCGGCGCGCCGTCTGCTGCCCGCGTCCTGCAGGGAGACGGGTCCGCCCCCCAGTGCGCGCAGGCGCGTACCGCGCGGGGCTCGGACAGTAGCTCAGCGCTCGGCGGCCACAGGCTGGCCTCGCAGGTAGGGAGCCCGCGGGCGCTGGCCTCGGACCCGGGGCTGAGGGATCGCTGCGCCACCCGGCCCCGCCCCGCACGGCGAGGGCTCAGAGCCGCGGCCCGGGTGCGCGATCCTTCCGAGCGTCTCCCGCGGGCGGCGGGGCTGGGGAGGAGGTTCGGGAGAGCGGGAGCGGAAGGGGTATGGGCGGAGTGGAGGGCCTGGCGGGTGCGGGTCTGGAGGGCCCGGCGGGCGCGTCCGCCGTGCTGCCACCGGCCGAGATTTGGAGGCTGGGAGGGAGGAGGCTTCGTTTTTAGAGAAATGCAATCAATTAAGAGTTTTTCATTAATGGAAAGAAGGGTGTAGTAAAGGGCGGGGTTGTGGTTTTCTTAGGAAATGGGTCATTTGGCAAACTTTCCTTCCGTTCATTTCCAATTTTTATAACGGAAAATTGGATGATGATGATGATGATGATTTTTTTTTTTTTTTTTTGGCTGTAAAGGGAAAGAATAAAAAGAATTCCGCCATTTTGGCGTTTTAAAAAGTAGTCATTCTGCGGGGCTGACAGATCAGTGACCTCCCCTACCGCCGCCGTCTATCCTAGTCCCGTGAGGACTCGGAAGGCGGGCGGCGGGTCTGGATCCTGAACCCCACTTCCACCCCCTAGGGCGTCCCAGCCGCGTCGGGAGTATTCGTCTGGAGCACTAGCTCCCCCACCCGCAACACCTAGAGCGAGAGCATTTATGGAGCGTCTGTTGTATACGAGGGCTTGGGCAAAGGGTGGGGGAAACCTTGGCCGACAGACCAGGAGAAAATAAACACGGCACATTCGTTCAGTAAATATTTATTGAGCATCTGCTATGTGCCAGACACCGCACTGGGCTGGGGATCCAACGGTTGTTTTAGATCGGTTCCATGGAAACAGACTCTGAGAGGGAGGTTTGAGTGCAGGGCTGGTTATTGGGGTGCCCTTTGGAATGTCACCCGTAGAGGAGTGAGGACAGCACCGTGGTTGGGCAGAGGGAGAAATCGAACTGCCGATGCAGTCTCAACAGTGGAGTCAGCCTGTCCCAAGAGAAGCTCTGGAGCTGGGATGGCCTTGCAGAGGTGTCCCAAACTGAGGCAAGGGAGCAGGGCCTATATACCCGGAATCGACTAGTCGGGAGATAGCTGCTTCCAGGAGAGGGCACTTGGGCGAGGCAGCTCCCCTGGCTGAGGGCAATTGGGAGAGAAGCTGACAGCTTGAGGGCTTCTAGTGACAGCCTTGGGACCTCCCATTTTATCTCCTCCTCTCCCAGCCCCAGAGCAGCACAGGAGGAGGAAATACTATTCTAGTCCCTAAGGCAAGAATGGCTAAGCCGTTTATGAATTTCAGTGCCTTTTATTTTTCTTTTACATTATTGACCACTCTTTACTCTCAGCTCTCTGATTCATTCATTCATTCAGTGGCTATTTGTGGAGTGCAATCTCTAGATCAGACTCTTTGCACACCAGGCGCCCTGTTGTTTCTGGGAGGAGACACAGACAATCTAACTGTTGATGCATAGTTAGATTGTGGTGGAGTGGAGCACAGGAGAGGGAGTGGTTAACTGTGGGGGTGGATTCTGGGAAGGTTTCAGAAAAGAGGTGTCACTCAAGCTGGATCTTGAAGGATGATTAGAATTTTCTAGAAATATGAGATGTGGAAAGGTACCAAGAAGAAGGAACAGCATGTGCAGAAGCTAAAGAAGCGGGGTTCTGAAGGTGTGATCAAGCTGCAGGGATAGGAGTGGACGGATTCCTTGCACCTGGCTCAGGCCTGGGAGCCATACGACATGTTGTGCTGCCATGTGGACCTAGTAGGTTGATGCTTATGAAAATGCTGCAAATCTAAGGGGTGATAGTGGTAAAGGAAAGGTGAATTCAAATCATAGAGACAGCAGTGCCAGGCCTCAGAAAATCTAGTGGTTTAGTTGGTGAGAAAGAACACAGAAACAGTAGGTCCTGGTAGCTAGGAGCCCACAACCACATGTGATGGGTTTCAATATCATAGGTGCTCTAGATTCTCTCCCCTCCTGCACATTCAAGGACTTGTCTTCTACAATTATTCTTTTTTTTTTCTTTCAAATGTTTTATTGTGAAGTATATCATACGTACAAGAGCCTGTATGAAACTTCCATAACCGGTCTCGACACGGCTTCTTCCTTATATCTAGAACTATTCTTTTTCTATTGCACTGTCAGTTTTTTCCTCTCTATAGGCTCATTTTGGTCAGCTAGAAACATCTGGTAACATTTCCTAGTTTAAAGGACAAAACAAACAAAAACCCCTTTCTTGAGACCACATCACTCTCCAAATTCCAACCTCCATTTCCATGCTCTCCTTCATATTCCGACTCCTTGAAAAAATTTTAGACCCATCATTCCTACTTTGTTTTCTCCCATTCTCCTACAGGACCGGTTCTTATAGTCAGTTTCCCCACTAGAATGTAGACTCTTGCATTCAGAGGTGTTTGTTTTGTTCACTGATAAATCTGCATTGCTTTGGCATATAGTAGGCGCTCAATAATATTTGAACTAATCAACGATTTCTCTTTAGAGCCCACTCCGATCAGGTTTTCGTGTCCACACCTCTTCTGAAATGGCTGTCATCAAGGTTTCGGATGACCTCCTTATTGCTAAAATGGTCAGCTCTCAGCCCTCATCTGACTTAATCTATCAGTGGCATTTAACGCCATTGAGCAGTCCCACTTTCCCGAACACTTGCCTCACATATCCTCCAGAAGCCCAGACTCTTCTGTGTTCCCTTTCACTTCATTGCAGGCTCCTTAAACCTTTTTTGCTAGATCTTCCACTTCACAACCTATAAATAGTGGTGAGCTCCAAGGCTTTTTCTTTATTCTTAGTCCTAGGGGTTTTGATGCCATCTATACATGATGGTTTTCAAATTTATGTCTCCAACCTTAACCTTATTTCTGGAATATAAATTTCACAAGAGCACTTTGTCTCATTTGAGACTGTATTCCCAGAGCACAGAATGTTGCTGTCACTTAGTTGACCCTCCAATGTGTGCTGAAGAAAAGGCAGCAAACCTGAAGAGAAGGGCAGTCCTGTCGGTCACTCTTGATAGACCTGAAACATATGATACGTTTTGAAACAGAATGGAATTCTTTCAAGACTAACCACATTCACTCTTAATGACCACCAGTATTTTGAATAAAAAGACTGACTCTATTAAAAAGAACTTAAAATGGTACAAGTATGTCAGCTGTGCAAAGCAAAATATTTGGAATTGAAATTCAGGAAATTCTATTTTATAATGTAAAATTTTTAAATTAAATTAAAAATTTTAAATGGTTTGAGTGTTGCCTTAATCAGGTTATATGTCTCACCTTTGCCTACCTAATTATAATATGGTAGGCATATGATATGAAGGATGGACTTTGTATTTTAGGAAGGAAAAGCTGGGAAATAAATGAATGCATAAGAACAGCAGGAAGGAGGGTGGGAGAGAGTGACCAATACAAGCTGATTTTGCAAGCAAGTAGTTTACATGTTACTGGCCATAAGCTACGAAGCTCCCTAAAATTTCTGTTAAAAAGGACTGTATTAGTATTTGTTGAAGGCCTGCTGGTATCAAGATTTCACATATTTTTTCCTTTAATCTTTACCAAAGCCCTTTGAAGTAGATACCATTACCAGTTCATTTTAAACATGAGGAAACTGAGCTAAGATAGGGTAAGCTACTTACACAGAGCCACAGGTGTTAGGTGGTGGAAGTGGTGGAACAGGTGATGCAAACTGTCTTAACTCTGTCTTAAGCCTAGGCCCACATTCTTTCTTTTAACCTGTATGCCAGAAGCCATTGTCAAGTACTGCTAACACCTTAAAGCAACCAGATGCTTTTTAATAACAAATTGAAATTACTGAAAGCCAACACAAATTTATTGAGCACCTACTGTGTGCCAGGCAACATTCTAAGTGCTAGGGATATAGCAGTGAACAAGACAGATAATGTCTGCCCTCATGGAACTTACATTTATGTGGGGATGACTGATCAAACACAAATAAATAATGAGGGAGGTGAAGGAAATAAACACAGTCATGAGATAAGAAGTAGTGAGCAGGGATGAGGGGTGTGTGGCTCTAAACTGAGTGTCAGGAAAGACTTCAGAAGAGGTGTCCACTGAGCGAAGGCCTGGAGGATGGGAAGGAGGCAGGCAAGCAGAGAGCTTGGGAAAGAGCATTCCAGGGGGAGAAACAAGGGCAAAGTCTCTGAGGTGGGAATGTGTGTCAAGCAATAGAAGGAAACCAGAGCCTGTCGAGAGTGGAGAACATGGGGAGGAGGGTGGAGGATGAGGCCAGAGAGAGGAAGACAGGTTATATTCTGTAGGGTAAAGCACTTTGATTTTATTCTAAGGGCAGTGCAGAGCTAGGAAAGAATTTTGGATAGGGAAATTATGTGATGTAATTCACAATTTTAAATCTCTCTCTTACCGGAGAATACACTGTAGGGAGCAGGAGAGGAAGAAAGGAAATGGTTTAGGAGGCAATTTAGGAGGCAGTCCAAGGAGAGCTGATGGTGTTTGGGACTAGCACGGTGGCAATGGAGATAGAGAGAAGTGGTCAGACTTTGAGGTGTGTTTGGGAGGTGGAGCCGACAGGTAATTATGTATAAAGTTGTGCTGTCCAATACATATGGCCGCTGTGGCTATTTAAATTTAATTCAAATGAAATAAGATTAAAAATTCCATTCCTCAAGTCACACTAGTTGCTTTTCAAGTGCTCAGTAACCACATGTGGCTAGTGGCTACGGTGTTGAACAGTATAGGTATAGGACATTTCCATCATCACAGAAAAATTCTACTGGGCAGTGCTGGTAAGGCATCTAGGACACTGGCCGACACATTTGAGCAGTTAAGTAATGATAGATATTAAGTATATTTGTTATGTCACTAGGTCTCCCCCCCCATATTTACCTGTTCAACCACCTCTTTATTAAAGCAAAATCATGCATTACCTGGCTTCTCATACACTTCCTCTTTGCTTTTCAGATGCATGCATTTATTCGACAGATGTTCGAGTGCCCACTGTGCTTGGGGAGGGAGTGGTGGACAGGAGGGCATAAAAGAATGTGGTCAGGAAATATCACCTCCCAGGAAAATGGACCTGTACAGTGAGGGAGAACCTGGTGCTTGAGGGCTCTGAGTCCCCAGAGGGAGAAAGGAAGTGATTCTAGTGGGGATGGAGGTGGGGTTGACAAAGTGGGGAGTTTGGACTTGGCCTGGGCCATGTCATGAAGACAGATGGCCAGACAGAATCTTGGCCTGAGACATACTTCCCCAAGTCAGTTCTATATGTCACAGTTTACAAAGCACCCTCACACATGCCCATCTTATGAGAATGGGAGAAGTGCAAGGCTTGGCCAGAGCCCTCACCTGGGTGACCTGGTTACGGCAGGAGCCAGACTTGATGCTGGGCTTTTAAGACACCCTACTCCCCTAGGGCTGAGGCTTTTCTCTTAGGGTAGGCAGCTCCTCCTCTCAAAAGCCCTCTCCCTCTCTGATCACCCTGGGGGTTATGTTCTGCATGTAGGCCTACCAGGATGGAGGGACATGCTAAAATGGAGGTGCTGAGGACACTGAAGGGGCCCCCCACAGGGGAGGTCAGCGTACACCTGGTGGCCAGAGACAGCCCAGGTTCCAGCTCTCACCTGCCTACTACTGCCTTCATCATTCCAGGTGGGCCAAGCCAGGGGTCTGGGGAGGAGGAGCATCCCTATACCTGCCCAAGCAGGTGTGGATCCTGGGGAGGAGATGATACTTTTCTCCTGCCTACACACATGCATGGCAGGATTGCGGCAGAGCTCACCTGTGTCGTATCTGTCCGTATATCTGTTCGCAGCCAGCTCGGCCACCCTTGGCCTGCCCAGCAGTGCCCTGGATGTGTCCTGCTTTCCGCGGGAGCCGATTCATGTGAGCGCCCCGGAGCGAGTGACCAGCAGCGAACCTGCCACGGCCACCGTTCTGCCGCAGTTAAGCGCAGGGCCGGCGACCAGCTCCAGTGCCAGCACAGTGCGGCTGCTGGAGTGGACCGAGGCCGCGGCCCCGCCTCCTGGGAGTGGCCTGCGGGTCAGTGTCTCTGGGGATTGGCGGAGCCCAGCGAACCGCAGCTGCGGGGCGGGGTCTGCGGGCCCGGAGGAGGGGCCTGAGGCGGATAACGGGGGAGGCTGGCCCAGACGAAGGATTCGGTGGGTGGGGCTTTGAGTGAGGGACTCTGGGGACATGTCTTGGAGTGAGGCGCTCTGAGCACGAGACATTTGGGATCCTAGGGGCGTGCTTTGTGGGAAATGGACTCTGGGGTCGTAGCTTGAGTAAGGCACCGGGAGGGGGACCGTGCGGAGTGGAGGTGGGTCAAGGGCCCGTACTCGAGTCCCCGTCCTCAGACCTCCCGCGCTCCAGTTCCGGATAAGCGAGTACGCGCCACTAAACATGGTGGGAGCGGAGCAGCCCCCGAGCCCTGAGCTGCGGCGGGAAGGCGTGGCCGAGTACGAAGCTCGCGAGGCCCCGGCGGGAGGTGGCGATGCGGGAACCCAACAGCCGGGTAGGAGCCTCAGGCCCCGAGCTGGGACCCTGCGCGAGTGGAACTAGGCCTGAGCGACCTCAGGGACCTCGGTCGGGGGCGGGACCTGAGGGGGCGTGCTCCGGGTTCCTGCACGTGCGCCCAAGGGTTGGTCCTGAAGTGGAGAAGGGGGAGGCTTGACCAGTAGGGGAGCTCGAGGAGGTGGGACCGAGGTGGAGGCAGGGCTTCAGGGGTCCCGGGCTCCGAAGTGGGCGGAGCCTGGGTGTGGTTGGGATGGGGTGGCCTGAGGACCCTTTGGCCCCTACAGCGGACCTCCCACAGGACCCTCCGGAAGATCCCCCTCTGGACCCCCCAGAGGATGATGGCACCTGTCAGTGCCAGGCGTGTGAGCCTCAGCAAGGCTCCGGTCCGGATCCTGGTTCCTCCAATGACGGCTGCCCCCAGCTGTTCCAGGAGCGGTAAGGGGCAGGGTTTACTGCTCTACTTGCTCTGCTTTTAGGCCAAAGCCCCATTTCTGTTCATGGCTTAGGGGCTGGGTGGTGCCGCATGGATTGGTGGTTCTTTCCTTCAGGCTGCCCCTCCCTCTCAGGTCAGTCATAGTGGAAAACGCCTCAGGCCAAAATTCCTCCTGCACCAGCACTTCTGAGCTCCTCAAACCTATGAAGAAGAGGAAGCACAGGGAATACCAGAGCCCATCCGAGGAGGAGTCAGAGCCAGACGCCATGGTAGGGAGTAGGGGGAGGGGAAGGCTAGAGGCTTGCTGCCCACTATCCCTTCCATCAATCCAGGTCAGGGGCTGGGCAAGAAAAGACACCTGATGACTCACTCTTCTTATTTTGGGGTTTCATCCTGAGTCAGGCCCTGTACCTGGCTGGAGAGTAATGAATAAATCACTCTCCTGCTTTTCTGGGGTTTCCATCTCAGCCTAGTGTCAGGGCTGAGACACACTCACATGAACCTGCACCCGAGATGCATGTGTTGCAGATGGTAAGCCCTGTCACTGAAGCCCAGTCACTAGGCCAGAGGCCAGGGAGCTCAGAGCTCTGGTTACAGAGAAGCTAGAAGAGACAGCGTGAAAGTTCCAGTGGGCAGCCAAAATCAGCACAGGGCAGCTGTTTGTGTCCTGTTTTCCCACCTGGGAAGAAGGAGAATTGTAATCGGGTTGTATAATTTGGGAGTGTGTGCTCATGTGCGTCTGTGCCCAAATGCTAAGGGGTTGTCTGTCAGAGCTGTGTTCCTACTGATGGCCTAGGAGAAATTCCACCTGTCCGAGAGCTAGGCAGGGGCCAGGATTAGAGATTGGGGCTTCTCCCCAGCCCATGAGGACAGGAAGCTGGAATCAGACTCGCCTTCACAGGAGAAGCAAGAAGAAGGAAAGGATCCGGAGGGACAACCCACTGCTAGCACCCCAGAAAGTGAAGAGTGGAGCAGCAGCCAGCCTGGTATGGTGGCCTGTATATATATATTTATGTGATGTGGGTATATATATTTGTGTGGAGGTGTGAGGCTGGGAGGGTACGTTTCGGTTGTGATGGTGTGTTGTACATATATAGATGAGCGTGAGTTAGTGTGTGGGCGAGAGAGAGGGACTGAGAGAAAGATGATGTTTCTGGTTTGTGCATTAGTGTATATGTGTTCTTGGGGGTTATATCGTGTGTTTGTTTATCCTCTATTCAGTTGTGAGCAGGCTTCACTGCCAGGCTTGATATCCAACGACTTGAACAGCTTTAATGGCATCCCATGACATTGCTTCCTTTGGTGGTGTGAGCAAGTCTGTACTGGTCACTGGTCTGACCTTGCTGCGTGGGTCCTCATTCTGAACCTTTGGTTCTAAGAAAAATGGAACAAAGTGTATTCACAGCCAGCTCTGGCCCTCAGGCCTTCTCCATTACCATCTCCACTTTCCCATGTCAGCCTGTCTCCTGTCCACAGTGTCGGGAGAAAAGAAGGAAGGCTGGTCATGGGCGCCCTACCTCGAGGAGCAGAAGGCCATCACTGCCCCAGTCAGCCTCTTCCAGGACGTGAGTGGGACAATTTCCACCTAGGAAGTGCTCGTATTCCCAATCGAGGGACTCACCACCAAACTCAGGCCTTCTGGTGTTTTCTGTGTCTGAAATCTCTTAAAGGACAGTCAGAATGGAAAGGGGAGAGACTCGTTAGGGGCCCAGGGTAGAAAAGGGCCCACCATAAGGGGCTTCCAGGGTGGGAAGAAATATGGAGGAGGAACCCAGGCTCACCCATCACTGAGCCTGTAGACATTTGAATTCCAATGCTTTCTATCCAGTTCCATACACTGATTTTTCATGACTTGGGTGAAGGGAAGCCCTTAAGTTCAGCCCTGACTCAGCCTTGGGAGCTATTCTGTCCCCCTCTGGATCTCTTCACCGAAGACCCCCAAATAAATGATCCCTTTGGTAGTACCAGGCAGGTGGGGCCTGAAGGCAGCTCCTTCACCCCAAGCCTACCAGGCAAGGATAAGGCTGGATGGAAACTGGGTCCTGTCCAACCTGTGCATTGACAGTACCAGGCGGTCCCTCCTAACAAGAACGGCTTCAGACTGGGCATGAAGTTGGAAGGCATCGACCCTCAGCACCCGTCCATGTACTTCATCCTCACCGTGGCCGAGGTGAGCTGAGGCTTGCGCCTCTGTTCTGATGATGTCTCTCAGGGTAGATTGAAGGAGCCTACCAGAGGCACAGAGGGCCCGGACTCAGAAGAGGGAGACACTGCCCTGCCCACCAAAGGCACACAATCTAGTAAGGGATTAAGGTGGAACAAAAACCAGACCAAGCGTGAGGGGTGGTGATGGTACTGAATGAGTGTATACTTCAGTGGCAGGGGGACTCGAGGAGGAGATCCCAAGGGCATGAGTCCCACAAGGTCCTTGTCTTCTAGGAGCTCATAGCTATGTGGGGATCAGCTCGATAAATACATCAGTAACATACCACAGGTGTGGGACAGACATGAGCCTAGAGGCACTGAGGTGGCAGGAGAGGCTTCACAGAGGAAGGGCCTCCTTGGCTGAGTCTTGAGAGATGAGTTGTGAATAAGTAGGGTGTTCCAGACAGAAGCAGCAAAGTGAGCCAAGGCTCTGGAGTGTGGACCAAGCCACACATTCACGGAGCTGCCGTCAGCTCAGTGAGGCCAGAGCAGTGAGCGCATGGGGAGCCGTGAGAGAAGGGAGCAGAGAGAGGGTCATTGGGGTGCTGAGCAGGCCCGAACCCTGGTAGCTGCCCTCGGGGTTCTGTCTAGGTCTCAGAAGGGCAGGAGGATGTGATAGAACGTGTCTGTCTTGTACCCAGAACTCAGGGCTCACAAGTACCTGAACTGCTCTCGCTGCAGGAAAAGAGAGTGTGGTACAAGGTTCAGGATGGGGGTAAACCTGGGAACAAAGAGACGTGGGCACCTGCTAGCATCAGAGCCCCAGGTGGGGCATGAGAGGTGAGGGAACGGGCCTGGGCGTCTGCTGCCATTGGAGTCCTTGTGATTCCCCCTGATGGGGCCAGGTGTGTGGCTACCGCCTACGACTACACTTTGATGGATATTCTGAGTGCCATGACTTCTGGATCAATGCCAACTCCCCCGACATTCACCCCGCTGGCTGGTTCGAGAAGACTGGACACAAGCTACAGCCCCCCAAAGGTAAGGCCTGGCCGGGTTGGTCACGGTGAGGCTGTGGCCCTCAGGCCCAATCCTTCTTTGTTGTGGTCTCCCCTTCCATTTCCGGGTTGCACAACCAGCCTGTCTTCATGGCCTCCTGCTATGACTCGGCCCTAAGGCTTCCGCTTTGCCCTTGCCCTTCGAGTGTCTACCTAGGTCGTGTCCTGCTTTAGCAGGGGGTCCTTGGGCAGGTTCTTGAGGGCTGTGAGGTCTGCAGGCCTGCTCGATTCTGCTGCTTTCATGTGGGGCGCCCTCGCCACAGCCCAGCCTCTGTCTGCACGGCGCTCTGTTCGTCCCTTCTGAGGGGCCTAGGTTTCAAGGAGGAGGAGTTCAGCTGGAGCCAGTACCTGCGCAGCACGCGAGCTCAGGCTGCCCCCAAGCACCTGTTTGTGAACCAGAGCCACGTGAGTGCCCCTGAGCCAGAGTGGACACCTGCCCCGGGGACAGAGGCACTGCAGCCGGCCCAGGGGATCTGCCTCATCAGAGGAGAGCTCTCAGCTCCGTTCTGATCTCATACCACATGGGAGGGGCACGCTGGGCAGACCAGGCCAGAGGAGAAAGCCGGCCATAGGTTCTCCCCCAGTTCCCTCTATAGAAATCCTCTCTTCTGCACGTCCCCTTGGACAGAAACTCTGGCCCACCATCTGGCCTGGGCTCTCAGCTGTCATCGTTCTCATTTCTCGCTTCGGTTCGCCCTGCAGTTCTTGGTGTAAGGTCCAAGCCTCTATCCTGGGAGCCGCTTTCTCCTGTCTTGCCCGACATCAAGGCTCTTCCATTTCATCCCCACAACTCATCCCTTATCTTTTTCTCTGTTCGAGGCAGCTGGCAGCTTTATCCAGCGGTTAAAGTATCTTGTAATACCAAGCAGAAGGGCTGAGAGACATAGGGAACCCCCTCTAAAAATCTCACCATATCAAAAGTCCAGGATCCCATGGGCCAGGGACTCGATCGTTCTGTTCAGGCAGTTACACCCCACCCCCAGTCCAGCCCCAGAGACCATACCTGCAGGTTCCCAAGTGACTGGTGGGGTTCTACCCGCTAGTGTGACAGGGGATGTGGACTTTTAAGGCAAACTGTTTAAATCCTGGTCCCAACATTGACTAGCATTGTGGTCCTGGACAAATTATTTAACTAATAAAATGGGGATGATGACAGCTATCTCGCCAGATCGGGGAGGCTGTCCTCAGCCTGACACGCTCTGGGTGAATGGGTAGCCGCCTGCCAGTCACTCATCTTCTGCCATAGTGAGGCTTCCTCTGAGTACACCGTGGAGGCCAGAAGATTCTGTGTGACTTGGGGCTAGGGGTTCACAATTCTGCCTGTTTCTTCCGCCCGCCATCCGCCCCACCCCAGTCCCCTATCCCAGCCCCCAACCGCCAGCATGGCTCCTAGGAAACCTACTCCTTTCCTCGCTGGTAGGCCCTGAACTAGCAATAGCCTGCCTGGCTCTGGCCGTGGCAGCCCTTCTTCTTGCCTCCAGAGTCCCCCACCCCTGGGCTTCCAGGTGGGCATGAAGCTGGAGGCTGTCGATCGCATGAACCCGTCCCTCGTCTGTGTGGCCAGTGTGACCGACGTGGTGGACAGCCGCTTCCTGGTGCACTTTGACAACTGGGACGATACTTATGACTACTGGTATTGGGAGGGCCCAGACTTGGCCTGGGGGTGAGGGGGCGGCAGAGGGTGGGAGGCAAGGCTCTCAAACCTCAGGCACCATGAGGCGCCCCGCCCCACCCCCCTCAGCTCTGGCATTCATATTTGTTCAGGGGCATAATTGACTGTCCTGTGGATTTTATCCATTTTATAAGAAATAATACAATATTAGATGTATCACCTAAAAACACCAGGGTTAAGATGAACAGACCCCTGTGATTCATGGTTTTCCCTTAGATATCACGGTGGTGTTAGAGTTTTTAGTTAATACTGCAGTTTTCTGACTTTCTCATCAGCCATCTGTCTAACTCTCACTAAGAAGTAGAATGGGAGTGGACCCTGACACCGTGCTGTCATGGGACGGCAGGCTCAGGCCTCCACGTTTCATGTGGGACAGTGAAACATTCTTGGGTTTCAGGTGTGATCCCAGCAGCCCCTACATCCATCCAGTAGGCTGGTGCCAGAAGCAAGGAAAGCCCCTCACCCCTCCACAAGGTAACTCTGCAGCCTAAGCAAGCTCCCTTTCCCAGGCCTGGCTCCACACCTCTCTCCCCTGACCCAGTACCTCATTAGCTGGGTCATTAGGGCCAGGGCAGGGGGACAGATGTGTCCTGGAGCCTCAGCTTCTGTGCCCAAGAGTTGAGAACCCTCTGATTATAGGAGAATCTCGTCAAACCCTGACTGGGTGGAGGTGTAAGGGAAGAAAGTTAGATGGCCCTCCCAAGCAGGGACGCAGGAGTCCAGTGTGGAGACTCTGTCCTTTCCTCTTGGGGTATTACGCTGGCCCACATACAGTAGAGGCTCAGATGGGGCTGGGATGGACCTAGAACAACAGGGCTGAGGAGGGAGATGGGAGCCAGGGTTCCCAGACAGCCCTGTGAACTGTGAGGTGGTGATGTGCTTGCTTCTGTCCAGCACCCCTCTGCCTCAGGAGCTCCCTACAAAGAGCTGGCTCTGGTGATGTAGAGACAGGTTGTTCTCCATGGGCCTCTGCCTCTTCCGTGCTCCTGGTCCTGCTAGGGGGCAGAGAGCTCCCCGAGTATGCCTGGGTGCCTACACATTATTCTCTTTCTCTCCTCTAGACTACCCAGACCCAGATAGCTTCTGTTGGGAGAAATATCTGGAAGAGACTGGGGCCTCTGCTGTTCCCGCCTGGGCCTTCAAGGTGGTGAGTTGGCTCTTCTGCCCTTAGAGCTGAGTTCAGGCAGGTGTGGAACCCTCGGCCAGCCAGGATGTGGCCTTGGCCTCCCTTTTTTGGCAGGCCCCAATTTCCCAGGCATAGCAGTTGGAGTCCCTTCTTGAGGCTTCAGCACTGCTGAGCTGGGCCTTGGCCTGAAGGCCACTGTCCCCCTGCAGCGACCCCCACACAACTTTCTGGTCAACATGAAGCTGGAGGCCGTGGACCGCAGGAACCCAGCACTGATTCGTGTGGCCAGTGTGGAGGATGTGGAGGACCATCGGATAAAGGTGGCTAGGGGAATGAACGAGCTAGTTGGATAGGAATTCTATAGACTGGTTAGAGGTCAAGGATATGGCACGAGCCAGACATGCCATATGTCTGGGGGAGGCTGCACGTTGCGGGGAAGAGGGCTCTACGCTTGAGGCTGAAATCTTGGGTCTCATTCTAGCCTCATACATGACTTACCTCTGTGGGCTTGGGCAAGCCATTTCCCCTTTCTAAGCCTTAACCTTCTCATCTATAAAATGGGCCTAATAATCCTTGTCCTACCCAAGAATTGATGGGAGATGCCGGTAACTTAATGAGTGAAGAAGCCCTTGGAAAATGTGGCGGCTAAGGTGGATTATTGTGGGGATGGCTCCTTGGTTCTCCCAATCCAGGATCTCGCTTCCAACAGGCCCCAGGGATGGGGAGAGCCTCCTGGAGTCTGGAGGACCTCCTGGCTGAGCTGGGCTCCACGGGGAACACCTGACCTCCAAGGGCCTTTCCTCCCCAGCTCCACTTTGATGGCTGGAGTCATGCCTATGACTTCTGGATTGATGCCGACCACCCCGACATCCACCCCGCTGGCTGGTGCTCCAAGACAGGGCATCCCCTGCAGCCTCCTCTTCGTGCGTACCCCTGGAGCACTCTCACCCTTTCCTACTGATGTCCAGCCCCATCCCCCGCAGCTCTGACCCCCCCGCTTAATAGCATGCCCAGGTCTGACACAGAGGGCTCTGGTGGCCATGGTCAGCCCTGGGATCCCCCATCCTCCCTGCCTCAGAGGTCTCTGCTACACTAAGCAGTGCTTCTGGCTTCCCCAGTTGTGAGGTTTAGGGTGTCAAGGTGTGGAGGGGAAGCTCACTTGGGAACACATGCCCAGAAAGTAGTCACACACCAAGAAATTCTCTCAGCATCTGCCAGAGCCACATGGAGAATACATGACACGTGCTAAGGAAATGCTGGCTCCGTTAAATAAAATCTCGGTCCCCGCAGGCAGGGGTTAGAGGTCAGGTCTTTGGCTTGCTCAGCCCCGGGTCTCACCCTCAGCATTCCCCTCCCTTATTTCCCTGCTGCTGCCACATCTGCCTCACATGGGGTGTTGATCCGTCTCGAATGTTCCCCAAGCATGGACAGAGCCTAAAAAAAGTTACCAGAGTCTGGAGGGTGAAACAGGGAAACTAACAGAGAATAACATGAATCTGCCTGATGTGGCTTTTTGGGTACAGCTGTGCCCACCCTGGTTCTGAGTGTATCTTCTCCCCAAGGATCAGGGCATCGCCTGCAGGTTTAACCTGAGTGTATGAGAGCCACGCCCTCATTCCCCAAAGGGGAATAGATATCCGATAGCAGGAAGGAGTGTCACAGTCTAGCTCAGGGTGCCTGTACCTGGGAAACCAATTCCTAGCGCTGACCTTCCCCGCGGAATCTGCTCCTTCCATGCCCTCCATTCCCCTCTCCCCCAGGACCCTGTGCTGACTTTTCCTTCCTGCTGCTCCAGGACCTAGAGAGCCCAGCTCTGCCTCTCCTGGGGGCTGTCCCCCTCTCAGCTATCGGAGCCTGCCTCACTCTAAGACCTCCAAGTACAGCTTCCATCACCGGTGAGGGAAGGGCTCCTGCTAAGAGCATTGTTCAGAGGTGGTTGCTTTACACCTACCGTGTGTGGCCAGTCGGAGTTCACCAAGACCCTTGGAGTGGGGCCACAGTTGGGGAGGGCTAATGGAAACAAGTGGATGCAGCTCAACCTAAGCCTTCTCCTTCCCCAGGAAGTGCCCCACTCCTGGTTGTGATGGCTCTGGCCATGTCACAGGCAAGTTCACAGCTCACCATTGCCTCTCAGGCTGCCCGCTGGCTGAGAGGAACCAGAGCCGACTGAAGGCGGAGCTGTCCGACACAGAGGCCTCGGCCCGTAAGAGGAACCTCTCAGGCTTCTCCCTAAGGAAGAAGCCTCGCCATCATGGCCGGTGCGGAGGGCAAGGGTGCAGGACCTCGTGTCCTCTTGGGCCAGGCCAAGCGCTGATTCCCTGCCATGGACCTGGTCCCTCTCTCTCCAGGATTGGACGCCCTCCAAAGTATCGGAAGATCCCGCAAGAAGACTTCCCGAGTAAGTTGAAGGTCGTTTAACTCTCATGTCCAACCATAAAGCGTTTACAGTTGGGATGGAGGGCCTCGAGGAAGAGAAACTGGAAGGGAAGCCATATCTCTTCATTTGAGATGCTTGGGGGAGCATAGAGCAGTGGCGGGAGCACAGACAGGGCCTTGAGTGACCTCAGGTCGCATTTCATCCACGGCCTTCCTGTGAGTCTGCGGGAAAGGCACAGAGCCTCTCTGGGCCTCTGATTCTCCACTGTGAGGCAGGATGATGCCCCCGGCTCTGCTGTTCTTAGTCTAGGTTTCCTGGGAGGGAGTCCATGGCTATCGCTTTCTGGCTGTGTGACCTGGAACGAGTCACTTAACATCTCTGAGCCTCAGTTTTCTCATTTGAAAACACAAATGGTAACTGCCTTTCAGGTATCCATTACCTGAAATAATAGTGGGTTACTGAACACCTACTACAGGCCAAGCACTGTTTCACGTTCTTTACACATAATGTCACTGACTCTCACAAGCATCCTGTAATGTGGATATCGTTCTCTCCTCCTGAGGGAAGAGGGTTGGGAGGCTCAGAGAGAGAGAAGTCATTTGCGCAAGGTCATTCACCTTGTAACTTGTGAGGAGCAGAACTGACATTCGAACCCTGGCCTGACTTCTTCTGCTACGTGCTGCTGATACAATAGACATAAAACACCTAATCCAAATGTCAGTTCACTTCTCAACCACCTTTAGCTTCACCACAGACTGGGTGGCCTAAACAACAGAAATTTATTTCCTCACACTTCTGGAGGCTAAAAGTTCAAGATCAAAGTATGGAGGGGTTTGATTTCTTCTGAAGCCTCTCTCCTTGGCTTGCAGATGTTTGCCTTCTCGCTGGTCTTCACATGGCTTTCCTCTATGCCCGTGTACCCTCCGTGTCTCTCTATGTATCATAAATTCTTTTTCTTATAAAACCACCAGTCAGATTGGATTAAGGCCCACCCTTATAACCTCATTTTAACTTAATCACCTTTTTAAAGGCCCTTTCTCCAATTACAATCGCATTTTGAGGTACTGTGGGTTAAGGTTTTAACATGAATATGGGGGGACACAGTTCAGTCCATAGCATACTCCAAGGGGAGGGACAAGGTGCCTGAGCCCTCTGCTGTGTCTGAATTCATCTCACATCTTCAGCCAGTGGCACAGGGCCTGATACATTGCAGAGCTCTGTGGATCTTGCCTCAGTTGAGTTGAATGCACATCATTTTAAGGCAAGGAGAAACCATGAGAAATCATCTGGTTCACAGCACAATTTCTGGCAGGACCCAGGCTATTTCCAGTTCTTCAAGAACAGTCTCCGTGACCTGGGCAGTATACAGCGTAGTGACTAAAAGCACAGCCCTGAAGTCAGACTGCCTTTTACACGCTGTGAGATCTTGAGAAGGTGGTGCCACCTCTCTGAGACTCAGTTTCTTCATCTGTTAAATGCCAATAATAACAGTGCCAATCTTAAAAGGCTTAGATGAGATGGTCACGTAAAGTGCTCAGTAACCTGCTGGAATTATTATTAGTTCTGATCTCTTGCCTGACTCCCTCTTGCTGTTGTTCCATACTGTTTCTTCTTTGTGGAAATGGAAGGCAGTTCCTGCGACCTCACGCCTAAGTGAGGAGGGTATTGGCCTGCCTCCAAGTCCTCAGAGTGTGGACTTCCTGTGAATGAGACTGCAGTGGGTACCTCCCTCTTCTACCCGCCTGTGGTACACCTGGTCGGCTTCCATTGCAGGGCCACGTTCTGACCCCCAGAGGGCGCTTGCCTATCACATTCATTTCAGAATCACCCTGAGAGCTAGAGAAGTGAAGTCTTCCAGAGACAGAGGCTGTGTCCAGAGAGGGCCCGAAGCACTTCAGGGACAGAGCAGGGGACAGAGCCCAGGTCTCTGACCTCTGTACAGGGCTCCCGTGTTCTACCAGCTGTCTCTCTCACAGAGGGGACACTGGTCACTCTGGATTGTGTTCTGGAAGAGACTTGTCACACATCCTCAGAGTGGGCTCCAGGGTTTGCTGGTAAACAGCTCCATGGAGAAGGCTACCTGCAGAGGACAGAACTTAGCTGTGCTCTTCCTGCTTATAGGGCCATTCAAGCCTCCTGAGTGCCAGCCGTTTGAAAGAACAACGAGAAACCGCAGAGATTTCCTTACCCAACCTGTTCATCTACAGGTTGGGAAACTGAGGCCCACGCGATTTACTCAGGATTAAAGAGCAAGTTAGTAAGGGCCCAGCAGGACTTAAGAAAAGGAAGGCAAACAGAATGGGCTTCTGATGTCAGGACAGAACTTGCTCGGATGTTGGGGGCCATTTCGATGCAGGGGATCTAGAGATGGGTGCAAGGATGCTGCAGCAGCTCCAGGAGAACATCCTGGTCGGGCCCAGGGGTGATGCAGCCTCAGGGGGAGGGGGGCAGGGCCATTCCAGCAGCCGACCTGAGAGGAACCCACTTTACCGGAAGGATTGAGCCCCAGATGAGGAGTCCGACCTGGACTACCCTCTTGGCTCTGTAAGCCTATTGGAAGGGGGTCATGGTCCTCCCGAGTGGCATGGGGATGAGCAGGCTTCGGGGGCCAGATTAGTCTTCAGCATTGGCCTGCCAGCCTCTGCCTCTGCTTTCTAGCACTAACGACCGATGTCATGCACCAGTCTCTCTTCATGTCAGCCCTGTCGGCCCACCCTGACCGCTCACTCTCAGTGTGCTGGGAGCAGCACTGCAAGCTCCTGCCAGGGGTGGCGGGCATCTCAGCCTCCACGGTCGCCAAGTGGACCATCGATGAGGTGAGGCCCGTTCCTCTGCGCCCGCTTTGCCTTCTCACCACACCCTGATGCGAGAGCTCAGGAATGGCCCCCATCAGGCAGAGCTGGACGCTGCCGCTGACACCACCTCCTCGCCCCTTTGGGCCTCAGGAGCTGGGGGCCTCAACTTGCACACCTCATAGCACAGAGACACAAGGATCTCTGTAGTAAGAAAAAAAGGTGATAAGTAAAAGCAACACTATCCTAACCCAGAAAGCACAAGGGCTCCCCTCTCCCCTGTACTCCTAAGGCCCTGTCCCCTTGGCAACATGTCTTCTTTGGTTTCCAAGGTCTTCGGCTTCGTTCAGACCCTGACAGGTTGTGAGGACCAAGCACGACTCTTCAAAGATGAGGTAAGTAAGGTGCAAATGCAGAGTGGGGACGGAGAAGGGTCCCTCACCGAGATGGCAAGAAGCAGGTGCCCTCACCAGCGCTGCCACCAGCTAGGGAGGGCCCTCTATTGTCCTAGCTGGGTGAGACTAGTCAGTGACCACGTCTCTGGGAAAAATTCTAGTGTGGACCGTGCTCAGACCGTCCTCAGGAAGGAAAAAGGCATCCTGGAGACCAGATTCCATTCACTCCTCCACTCTCTGCCCAGTCTTTTGTTTTCCAAACTTAGCTTCACCAGTGACGGTCAATATATTAAAGTGTATTTTGAATGGCACAGGTATTACCATTTACTCCAAGGATCCTAATGTACACTTAAAACAAGACCCCAAAGCTTGCTAAAGGCAAGAAGCAGTGAGTTGTAGGTGAAAGAACACTAGCTCTGCAGACAGATTGGGTTTGAATCCCAGTCCCTCCAATTCGAGCTCTTTACTGCCCCTGAGCCTGCATCTTCTTTTCTGTAAAACGGAGATAAAATGGGTACAATGATGACAACCTTTCGGGGCCATTGTGAGCACTGGAAACGATGAATGGATCATTGTACCAGAATGTCTAGTATAATTATACCACTAGTATATATGTTACAATATCACAGAGTAATATATTTTATTCTATGTTAATATCCTATATATAACATAGAGTAACGTAGAAATCACATCATTATACCAGATTGACTGATACAGTGGGGGAGCAATCAATGGTACTTCTGACTTTTAATATGTAGTTGTCCTTATATGAAGCACTTTGTCATGACTCTCCTAATTTGTAGAATTTGAAACTGGAAGGGACCTTTGAGTTTGTTTAGCTCTTCCTTCCAAAGAATACCACCCCCACCATCACCTAGGAAAGTGTTGTTTCTGCTCCCCGTAGGTGCCCCCTCCACGTAGATGCTCATGAGAAAGAAGTCTGCCCCCTTTCTCCGGAAGAATCTCCTTATCCAGGCCCAACACAGCCAGTTTTCCATCAGACCCTTATGTGGCGGTGTCCCCTCACTGCCCTCCCCCCTGCTCTGGGTGCTTGCCCTGCCTTCTGGATGGGTGATCTTTTCATAGTGCGTGTGTCCAGGGCCGTGCCCCGTGTTTCAGATGCCCTCCGACCGACACGGAACACGCTCGGCTGCTGCTCCCCGAGGTGGTTTCTGTTTCTGTTTTTAAAGACTTTTTTTTTTGTAATTTTAAAGCAGGTTTAGATTCACATTAGAAAATTGAGAGGAAGGTACAGAAATCCCCCGTGTGCTCCCTGCCTCACACATGCACAGCCTCCCCCATTATCGAAGTCACTCACCAGAGCGGGACGTTTGTTATCCCTGATGAACCGACATCTTGATGTTTCTAAGTGGAGATAATATATACGCAGAGCAAAATGCACCCACCTTAAAAGTTCACGTCCACAGGTTTTGGGAAAGGTACGCACCCTGAGCCCAGAACGTTGATCAAAGTATAAAACATTTTCTTCATACCCAAAAGTTCTTTCTCAGCCCCTTTCGCCAGTCCCCACCCTCACAGGTAACCAGTGTTCTAATTTCTGGCATCACAGGTTAGTTCTGCCTACTTTTGTACTTCATATAAATATAGCACATTCTCAGTTTTTGTCTGTCTCTTTTCATTCAATGTATTGTTTTTGAGGTTCATTCATGTTATTGTGTATATCAGTAGTTTTGGTTTTTTTTTTCATTTTTATTGCTGAGTAGTGCTCTATTTTATCAGTATCCCACAGTTAATGGGCATTTGGGTAGTTTCTCTTCCATTTGAACCCTATATTTTTGTTAGCAAAAACTTAAAATTGCACTAGCTTTATTATAGCCACATCACACCATTTTGTGGTTCATGCAAGTTTCCAGGTGCCTTTTATATCAACTATCCATTATAATCTAACCAATTTTCCAGTGCGTTACTTGTACCACTGTTTTTTTTTTTTTTAATTAACCTAATGTAAAACTTTACATTTCTCCCTATTAAATGTTATCTTGTTGGTTTCATAGTCTCATTGTTTTAAATCTTGATTCTGTCATCTTTGCTATCAGGAAGCCTTTCCAGCCTCATACAACTTAACTTGTACATTTAATAACTAAGCCTTCTGTGTTTAAAGCCAAGTCTTCACCACATCTGTGTAAAGAGACAGAGCAGAACCGCGTGGCATCCGTTAGAGATCTTCCATCAGGTCAATGATGAATGCCCTTTGACAACAGCTGTTCAGCCAGCTGCAGAGCCACTCAAAATTTGATCCTCTAGGCCATGATGGGCTACACATTGTCCCCTTGTTGGGAGAAGGGCTGTCTTGCCTAAGAGCATCTGCTGCATGTCTCAGTTCAGCATAGTCCGTGACACAAAAAAGCAGTGGCAAAGTGGTGGACCGTCAGCATCAGATTGAGTCTCGGTGTAGAGAAGGACCTTTGCGGGGCCTGATGGTTGCTTTCTCCAAGGTCTGGTCCACATCTTCAGTTTCCCCAGGGAGGACCATGCTCTGGGGAGTGGGCTCTCTCTGGCCGAACTGATGCAGTTAGGGCAATTTAAGGACACTGGTCAAGATGCTGTCCATCCTGGACACAGACTGATCATTAGAGAGATGCTTCATGCGTCGGGAATTCAAGCAAAGCACATAGATGGTTCTAAGGAAAGTCTGCTCAGTCCTCTCATAGTCTTTATTGTAGCCCGGTGTATTTGTTGAATTTATTCAGCAAATAATCATCAACATCTGCTCTGTGCCTGGCCAGTATTAGGTGATGAGGATACAGAAATAAACAAGAAGTTCTTGCTCTTAAAACTCCCCGTGTAGTAGGGGAGTCAGACTTGCAAATCGCTGCTTCTGGCCGTGTGTGGTAAGGGCTCCGAGAGAGGTATGATGGGAGTTCAGAGGAGAGGGGACAGAGAGGGGCCAGCAGGCTTTGCTGGCTGTGCAGCCAATAAACACTGGCAGCTTTCTGCTCCCTGAATGTCCCTTTTTCTTGGGTTCCTTGTGGACCATGCTTTTCTGTTGTGATAGCATAGAAGTCTTCTCAATCAGGTTTTGACAGTACTGGTTACTGATTTTAACCTGGCATCTGTTAAACAATTTAGATGTGGCTTTCTAAGGATCTTTCCAGGTTACCTCCACCTGGGAGAGTCCCTGGTCCTGTCCACAGCATCATAGGCTATTGCTTCTTGTGGATTATTGCATTTGGCTCATTTAATTCATTTTCCTGTTGAATTCTTCTACCTTCAAGGTCAAAAATGACCTTTTCTCTGATTTTAACACACCAGCACACATAGAACATTGCATGCTCTGGAATAATCCCATTGTCCCCTTATGTTGTCCCTGCTAGACCACCGACTCCAATCTTTGCTTCGAAGAACATAGAATCTGCTTCAGCAGTTGCAATGGTGAGATATCTCCGGGTGATGCATAGGAACCATTGAAAAAAAAAGTCTCGCTGAGTGTGCCCTTCTGGATTTATCTCATGCTACCTTGCGGCGTCTGTCGCTTACTTGTTCCACAATGCCTGTATTTCTTATAAACTAGAAGTTAGATCAGATCCAAAGGCTTGAATAGATTTAGATTCAATTCAACTTCTCTCTCTCAAAAATAGCTCATAGATCATACTATATACTTAATTCCAACGTCTTGCATCAAAATGCCTACAATGTCTGTTAGCAGCATTAAAGTTGACCAGTGGGTTCATGTGGGGACAGTGACAGCAGGTTTTTTGAAGCCACGATCATCGAGGACTCAGAAAACATTATGCAAATACACACTGAAATCCAGATTAGTCCGCAGGAAGAGAGTGCGCGTGCGTGAATGTGGGGAAACCGGTAGATGTCTTTCTTTCCTTCTCTGTCCCCATTGCTGTCTTCCTTTTTTCCTTTCTCCCTCCCTTCTCCTTTCTCCTTTTCCTTGCTCTTCCCCTCTCCCTCCTCCTTCCCTTCCCGCCATGTATCCTTGACTCCGATTTTCTTTTTCCCCTCCCCCTCCCCACACATACCCCCACCTTTCCTTCACTTCTTCCCCATGACCCGCTCCGCCTTCTCCACTCTCCACCTCCCTCCCCCAACCCCTCAGATGATTGACGGCGAGGCCTTCCTTTTGCTGACACAGGCGGACATTGTGAAGATCATGAGCGTCAAGCTGGGCCCAGCCTTGAAGATCTATAACGCCATTCTCATGTTCAAAAATGCCGATGACACCTTAAAGTGACTGGCTCAGGGCTGGGCCCTCCTCCAGCACGAGCTGGGCCTCCCTCCGCAGCTGATGCTTCCTCTTCAACTTGAGTTCCTCATCCTACCTGTGCCCCCCGCCCGCCTCTATATCTTACCGGGGTGGTCCCTCTCCTCTCCGGGACTGCTTCCTACAAGGTACATGGGAGCAGAGGAGCCTGGGGAAGATGGAGTCCCAGCCCCCAAGTCCAGGAGCTCGTCTGCCACCAGGCACACCAGTGAGGGTGCGACAGGGCTGGGGGAGCATTACGGAAGGAGTAGGTCAGGGGTACCCTGCCTGTGGCAGCCACATGTCTCTAGCCAACTTGTTTTAGCACCAAAGGGTCTTTTTCTCAGCAGCTAAGAACAATTGGGCAGAATGTGACCTCCAGAATGTGACCTCCAGACCTACCAAGAAGTGACCCTGCCACAAACACGTTTGTTCACAAAGACGCCCTTTCTGTCTGCTGGTTTTGCCTCCCTCATTCTGCTGCCTCATTGACTGGGCAGTGACCCTTACTGTGGCCCCACTGGCTCTTCCCCTTAGGTGGGTGAGCCTCAGAAACGTGTTTCCATAGGATCCAGGGAGTCTCAGGCTGCCTTTCTCCCTTTTACCCAGAAGCAGGAGATTCTGAGCCAAGATGCCTTTTTAAACATGTGCAGTTCTGGATCACTTGGCATTTTAGTGTCCTGTGCCAAGTCCTGTTTCCAGCAGAGTAGGCAGTTAGAGTGTTTCACCTGAGCAGCAGAGGTTAAGGTTCCATAGATGTTCCCGAAACACCTTTACTGTGTTGTGGGTGGGGAGGAGTCATCCAGCTGGCTAGGTAGCCGAGGCCAGCCCAAGAATACATGACAATCTCGGGTCTTTGGCCAGATGGATAGCTCTAGTGGGCATGGTGGTGCCCAAAGCTGGGCATAGCAACCTTTTGTGTGGCCATGGGTCTCAGCCAAGGTGTTGTTCATGGGGTGAGGACCTCTGCCTGTCAGGCCTCCTGCCGTGAGAATGGAGCACTCTGTCTAGCACAGGGGTCCCCAGGCCCCAGCCTGTGGACTGGTACCAGTTTGCTAATTGTTAGGAAGTGGGCTGCACAGCAGGAAGTGAGCAGCGGGAGAGTGAGTGAAGCTTCATGGGTGTTTGCAGCTGCTCCCCAGCCCTAGCATCGCTGCTTCAGCTCCACCTCAGATCATCATGCATGAGATTCCCACAAGAGCACCGGTCCCTGATGCCAGAAAGGTTGGGGACAGCTATAGCTGTCCCCCTGTAACATCACATTGATCTGTCCCTTAAATGTCTTGCTCTTGAGTTTTACAAAGACCACTTAAAGGTGAGAGTTGGGAAGGTGAATTCTTCTACCTTTTGAACTCTCCAGGTCCCTTAAGCCTTTCTTACCACTCTCCCTCTGTCTTGCACTGCTGGGACTCTGGGACTTTGACCTTCTGTCCAAGTGGGGGTCTAGCCTCCACGGAGCCACTGCCAAACCTGCCTCCAGCCTGAGAACCAGCTCCATGTGGAGGGGAGCAGCCACTTCCAAGCTCCCATGGCCCCAGGTGCTGAGATGGGCCTGCAGGGTGTGAAGCCAGGGGGGCCTTCCCCAGACCCCTTCTGTCATGTGATACGTGTGTGTGGGGGGGTATGTGTGTAGGGCACTCTCAGAAGTGTTTGATGAGGTGCTTATGTGAGGCTAGGTGCTGGGAAAATGTTAAGGGCTATTACTGTTAAAATGCGAAGCTTTATCTTTCCCATGGAAGAAGGAAACCCAAAGCTTTGTTGACTTCCCGCCCCAGCCCAGTTAGAGCCCCCTCTCACAGGGGCGCAGGCAGCTTTGCCAGGGCAGCCGTTCAGCGCCCCGCCCCAAGCACAGGGCAGGGCTGCAAATGTTCCTTCCTTTTCGGCCCTTAGAGGCAACTCTGAGCACAACCTCCCTGGGAAGAGGTGGGCAGGCCCTGCCTCGGGCTGAGGGTTGGGCTTACAGAGGCTGCACTGGTGCTCACTCGGCCAAGAGTAAGGCAGAGCAAGTCTGAGCATCTCTATGTTGGTTGCTTGGGTAGTGGCAAAACTTAACCAACCTTTGGGCCTCGTCTCCTCGTCTATGAAACTGAGGAGAGATGCTCACTCGCCTTGTGGTGTGAGGAGAGGAAGCAGGTACCCACAGCTGTGCTGTGGGACCTCAACATTTGTAAGGAGCAGGGCCGGGATGGCTTTGCCATGTGTATCTGCCAGCCAGGCTCCCCGTGCTTGCCTATGGGAAAGACAGGATGGACCAAGGGCTTTGGAGGAAAGGGTCCCCAGGCCTCCAAACTTTAAGGCCTCAGCACTTTCTGCACCAATGTCAAACTCTGGAAAGAAACCAAATCAGAAAAAAAGGGGAAAGAAATTTGCCTTCTCTCCATCCCACTACCCTTTTACCCTCATCCTGTCCCCAAACGAGATCATCGCACCTTGACCTGGGAGCACAGTGAAGGGAGGGAGTTGGGACCAGGCACCGGCGCCATGTGCCCTCTGCTCCACCCGTTAACAGCAGGCACCATGTACACTTTGGCCCCAGCAGCCTCACCCAGTCCTGGCCGAGGCCAGTGAGGACTTTCTGTTTAATTTCCGAAGCAGAGAGAATGATCCCAGAGTTTGAAAATTAAGCCTGTTTGCACTTTCATTCACATGCACTTTGGTGGAGTTAGGTTTTTTTGTACTTGCTCTGTGTGTGTGAACACGTGCGTGCATGCACACGTGTGTGTTCTTTAAGAGAATCTTCTGGTTTAAGATGAAGTGACTTAACTCTTGAGGGAGAAAAAGTTACAAACAAAATGT